AAAAAAAAAAAATCTCACCCTCTGTTATGCAGACTTTTTACTCCTACGAGACAGGAAGCTGAGAGGCAGAGAGGCATCCTCACAAGGTACACACACACCTTGCAGGATGTTATTTATGTACTTCAGCACCTCCCTTGCCAACTATAATTACCTGGACAGCTCTAACAGCTACAGTCTAACAGCTACATACAGTTCTCTCAGGAATCCTGTGCCCAGAACCACATCACCAAATGTTAAAGACCTAAAAGGCATTCTTAGTCAAAAAGCAAGGTTTGGTGGCATCCAACCTTCATAAGACCATAATTGTTGCCTCCATTTTAAAAAGCATAGCCATAATAAGGGAAACCCATTGGTGAACGTAAGTCATTTTCCTGGAAGAAAATACTTGAAGACTTTGTTCTTTCAAGATATTCAACATCCAGAGCCATCTTTTTACCAATCAGTTATTTTTCATGCAGACTAGATGCATCCTTTGACTGAAGAGCACATAAAAAGCCCCCTCACACACTCTCTCAGGAGCCATGGAGCTACAAATCAGCGCAGCGTGTATTATTAATGACAAGTTACCAGAAGATCTAGGACAACAGCCAGGCAGGAGTTTCACTGTGCTGTGATTCTATTGAGAAAATGAACCCTCTGCCAGGTCAGGTCCCACAGTTTCCCTTGCTCCTGTCTCCACTGTGCACAGATTTGTGATAAGCCATTCTGTCACGGCAACCAGGTGATTACCCTGTCCTAGAGGCATTACAACTGAGCTTTGCCTAAAAGATAAAGGTAACCAAATGAGGAGACACTGGGTAGAGGCACAAAAATCTCAAGCATTGTATCAAAAAAGGCAAAGGGAATTTTATTTTGGTGGCAGTTAAATGTTATTAGAAGAGTTCAGGAGCACCCATATTGGCAGTTGTTAGAGCTGCAGTAGGAGCCTCACAGATTCCATTTCCTGAGTGGTTAAAGCTGTACCACCTTCCAAATCCTTGGGTCCTGATTTATTCATGGCATTAGGAATGCAAAACGCAAGCAGAGGGAAGTAGGCCAAAAAAAGAATAGAAAGCAGGGATACAGAGGAACCAGTTTCTTCATTCCAGCTGAAAACAGGTTGAAATCATTAACTCTTTCAGAGCAAGCTCTCTCTGAAAGGGCAGTAGACACTAATGCATAAAGATGCACAAATGAGTCTCCCACCACAAAATAAAAATTATTAACAGAAACACAAAGCAAGCTTGTCTTCAGAAGAAGAATTCAGATTAACTCTAGCCCAAGGCATTTGGATTTTCAGGTGCATAATGCTCACTGTATTTGACAGGGAGGGGTTAATGGCTTTGGTTGTGTGAACTGGGGACCAGATGTTCAGCTGGTACAACTCAACACAGATCCATTATGAATCAGTGGAACTGTGGCTGCTTATCCCAGACAGGGTTCTGGCCCAGTACTTTGAAACCCTATTTAATACCCAATCAGATTTTTCCAAAGGGAGAGGCCTCACTTTTTGAAATCAGATAAAAAGCTACTAGCAATGCTAGAGGATGCAGTTAAACTGAAATGGCCACTGTCATGGCCTCCTTATATTACAAAACTCCTAAATCAAAAGCCTGCAGAAACCTCATGATAAATAACACCCCAGCACTGTTGTTTCTGCTACAATTTCATCATGTCCACCTACCTTACAATGGGCAGAAACAGGCATGAAAGGTAAATCACTCATTTATCACTTACCAGGAAATGGATGGGTCTTGACTATGTCCATTTTAGTCCTCGGAGCAGCTGTGGTCAGCCAAGTTTTGAGCACATGCTTTTAACAGAAAATGGTCTGCAAAATTTGCTGTGATGATTCAAATGCAAAGAGCAAGCAGGGGAAAAAAGAAAATAAAAAAGGTACATTCCTCCCTAAAAGGGCCATTCTTTACATTCAAGTGCAATGCTACTCATATAGTTAGAGGGAAGAAAGAAGAAAAATAGCCAAATGTCAAAAAAGACAAGAGTTACCACAGCATAAAGAGGCTAAAAGTAATCTCTGGTGCCAAATAATACCAGGCACATTACATTTTTGCTGCATGGGATAGATTTTAAACAGACATCTTGTCCAACAAGAAAAAAAACCAAACCACTACCACAAAACAACAAGAAATAGAAAAAATCCCACACAAACACAAAATTAAACCCCCCGACAAAAAAAAAAACAAAAACAAACCAAACAAACATAAAAAAACAACTTGACATGAAAATCAAGTTATCTATCCTGTTGCTGTAGTTCTGCACTTCTAAGTGCCCAGCCCATGTACTTCAAAGTCAAAACTGTGCATTCTGCTTAAATACTTTCACAACACAGGGTATAATAAAGACCTATGATGCTGCGAGTCTTCAATAACATAATTCTGTGTTTCCTCAACCAAACACCAACCCCAAAGGAAAAATGATCTCAGGGACCAGTAACTGTAAAACATTCAGTATATCCTAAAGGATGCTGCTATAAGCTGCTTTAAATACATTCACACACATTCTTAAGAACCTAGGCATCTTTCACAGGTTAAATGAAGCCTCTGGCAGCACCCCCAGTCTGACAGGAATGTACCTTCTACAAACTTCAAACAGTACCCAGCCAACAGGAAGCCTTGTCTTCCTGGTTACTGCTCCTTTGAGATGTACACAGCCTTTCCAGCATAAGTGGAAATAACATTTCCAACACCTTTTTGAAGGTAGCTTTACAGAAAAATAATACTGGTTATATGTTAGGGCCACATCTTGAAACATATCCACTTGGAGGAATTTTTAATACATGGACTTTCTCCTGTTGAACAAATATAATCAGGGTTTTCAAGATCTGTTTCTCTTGACAAAAATTAGCAAGTAGCACTTACACTACTTAGGATAACACAGATGAAAGGGAAGGGCAATACTTTAAGACATTAACCAGATGTACTTGAGCTGAGAACTGTGGTACTCAACCAGTCTGATTTTGAGGGGATGAAGAAAGCAAACATCTCAAGTGGCTCCAGAGTCACTCTCAAGACCAATTCCTTCACTGAATCAAAGCACAGATTCACAATGCGAAATTCACTATCATCTAACTCAACTCTCAAGTGGTTACAATCTTGTTTTATGGCAGAAAAATAAAGTTAATTCAGATTTTAGAAACCTCAGTTCAGCTTCTCTCAGCTTCTCCTCAGACTTAAAATGAAATGACAGAAGATACATTTCGTAAGAGTTTTTTAAAAAATTACACATTAGAAATATTTTACAGAATATAAATTATACATATGTACACAAATATACAACACCTACCAAGCTAAAAACACCAAAGGAAAGTTACATTTGCACTTATCAATATAGAAAATGGTAAGTTGCTGGCGACACTGTGCAAGTGCTCACACCAATAAATCAATAGAACACCAAACTTTCCAGCTGTACCAGATCATTATTACCAAAGTTAGCAAAAACACTGTTCCAAAAGCCTCAAAATTAATTTCAGGCAGGTCAGCTTGATCAGCCTGTTAAAAGTCATACAGAGTACAACAGGGAATTGGGAACCTCACATTGCTCCAATCCAAGACATGCACAGCGCCCCAGAAAGGCTGATTAAGTTGTTTCTCATTACCTGCTGCTGAGGAAGGCAAAGCAGGTCAGTGGTCAACATTACTTATAAATGAAGCACCACTGCTCACTGCAGCTTTGGGATGGAAAATGTTTGTTTCTCAATCAAAACAAATACTCCAACAGAGAAACACTAGGGTGAATGATGTGGATGTCACATAACAGCTCACCAACTTCAGACCAGAGACGTTTAGCAGTGACAAGAGGGGGTTCAGTGTTAGTGAACCAAGGCAGCCTCAACATCTGTGTCTTCACTTTCATATGAGAAAAGACAGTACAAAAGTGCAGGCAAGATTAATTGCTCTGTTTCTCTCCTCTGAGAAGGGAAGAATTAGTGACACAGTCCTTTAGAGTCTGCAAGTTTGCTCCCGATGACACAAGAATTCCAGTGAGCCCCAGGGTCATGCTTCTACATTCCCTGCTTTGCTCCAGGAGTCCTGGGAAACCCGACTGATGCTGCTCTCAATAAATACCTTCAGCCCCTTCAAACCTTGGGTATAGAGATATTCCAGATACCAGTTCCACTTCTTCCCCTGTAAACCAGAAAGAAGAGTCAGATGTGCAGAACAAAGCTTTACCTTTCCTGTGGGACAACATCCACAACTTGGATGACATTTGTAAATACCCACAGGTGTACAAGGTCACCTGCTGTTCCCAAATGCCCACAAGTACACAATACTCAGACTGAATAATGATCTTTCTTTAATACTGAAATTTTTTATAAATCCCACTTCTAGAAAAAGAAAAGTCTACTGGAACAACAGGGAATATGTCAAGAACTAAATGAACATGGCTATCAAAGCCTTTCTTCCACCACTAGTGGTGATTGCTCCAGATCAGGTTTGAAGTACACTGTGGCATAGGAAAGGAAACCAATTGCCACTGTATTTGCTCAGAGGACTCCTGTTCAAAGCTGTAACAAAGCTACACATCTGCCTTAAATAGAATATGAAGCAGAATTTGTATTATCAATTAACTTTAAGTGTATCAAGAATGTAAATTTTTCTGGAGCCTGCAGAGAGCAATAAACAGCCCTGTCCTGACACTGCACCGACTCATGAAGGAAACAAAACTTCAAATCACTAGCCACAGATACTTAACTTCTCAGGTGTGGATGTCCTCTTGTTTGGCCCTGTTAAGAGACTGAACTAAAGCCTACAGCTGGAATTTTTCCCCTTCCAAAAATTTTCTAAAGCATTTGTGAGTTTGGTGAATATTATAACCTCATCCTCTTCAACACAGCTGCTGAAAATTTCCTGCTTTATTTACTAAAACAAAAAACCTTACCTTAATTAATCTGAAGTTGAAGGTGGTATCATCAGGACAAAGCTTAAGAGAATAAAACAATAACAAGTCAGATAAAAAGTATGTCCAGGGCTGCTGGGTCTCTGCTAAGTCCCCTCCTAAATCAGGAAGCGCAGGCATGCAAAGAAATTCTGAGACTTTGCTTCAGAGGTGCCTTCCAGCATCATACCCTGTGCACAAGTGGCAAAGAAACATCTGGACCCTCTTGCCCTGTGCTGCAGCATTACAGGATAGCAACAGGGAATATTCACAGGTATCTTTACCATTGTCTCTACAAGGGTGTAAAAGTTTGCCTTGCTGAACATTAGAATTCCACAAGAATGAGAAAGAGCAAGAGAACAGAACGGACACAGAGATCAATGCTTGTGTTCCCCCAGTGCTGCAGAGCAGTGCCCTCTAGTGCTCAGCACTGCTGAGGAAAACATATTCCTGCAGCTCAACATCATTTCCTCCTGCCTTAAAACACATTTGCCATAGCTGCTAAGCAAAATTCCTCCTCGTTCTACAGTAGGAAGAGAACGCAATTGCCCATCAGAAGGTTTTGGGGTTTTTTAAGGGATTTTGAGGTTGGATGGGTTTTGGGTTTTTGTTATGGTTGTCAGTTTGTAGTTTGGGTTTTTTTTTTAATGCACAAAACTTACAAAGATGAATTAGGAACCTGTGTCAGGGAAAGTTTAGGTTGCATATCAGGAAAATGTTCTTCCCACCAAAGGTGAATGGGCACTGGAACAGGCTCCCCAGGAAAGTGGTGACAGCACCGAGCCAGACAGAATGCAAGAAGTGTCTGGAAAACACTCCCAGGCACAGAGTGGGATTCTTAGGCTGTCCTCAGGAGTTGGACTTCATGATTTTTGTGGGTCCCTTCTACTGCAGGGATATTCCATGAATCTAGGAAGCCTCACAAGAAAAATTATGTTGATAAAAGATGAGGCATATACAACTTCTTTCCTTGGTCTAATAAAACCAGAATAACTTCCTTGAGCAAAGACAAAATCCAAGTTTAATCAGCAGTAAGACACAAGCTAGCTTGATTCATGACACCAAACACATAACAAAGGCAAATTTGTCAAGTGTTCTTAACCAGAATTCTTTGCTTCAACTTCTCAGGTGCCCCTTGCTGCATTCCAGGAGTCACACCTACACTTGCCTCCAGCCTGACAGCTTTTCTCACAACAAACTGGCATCTTTGTGCAGCCCTTAGCCTACAAAACCTGGTTTCTTGGAGCAGCACACATATTGGAACAACAACAGCTTTCTCCACTGCTCAGCAGCTGGACTGAACACATGAGGGCACCCACAGTTCAAGAGAGCACCTGGCAGAACTTACACCAGACAATGCAAGACAGCTCCATGTTCTCTTACCTCTGTACTTGAAGCAGCTACTTGTATTTCTATTTTAGTAAGCCAAAAAAAGCTACCACAAGAGCTAGAAAGCACTAAGAAATTCTAGAATGAACAACTCTATATAATTTAACCATGCATTTCTTGACTTTCTAGAGTTTAAATATTTAGATCACACTGCCTATTTTATGCACCCTTGGTAAGGTTTCACTGAAGTGTCATTTATTTCATTAATTATTTTAGTCCTATCTCAAAATTTTTACGAGTACAAATTCACATCCAAAACTGCAACATTCATACATTCACCTGCTGTCATACCACACAAAGACTCTTCAAATTGTGCCATTAATCTAACAAACACAATGTCACAGCAACTTTTGAAAGCTCAGATGCCTGTACCAGTCAGCCAGGACACAGAGACACTTCTCTACACAAACAGTCAAGACAGAACATCTGGTACCATTAAAGATCTAAATCTTGGCCTACACCATTACCTGCTGCAGGAATTGAATAGAGTAGCCCATCATGGCTGGGTGATAGACAATGTTAAAGCTGTTTTTTAATTCCTTCACTGCAGTTTTACTCAACAGTTCATCATCCATACGAAGACCTTGAGGATGAATATCCTTCTGGAATGCACTGGATGTCCACAGACAGCCCACCATAGCTATTATGTACTGGTTGTACACTTTGTATGTCTGGTCACTGAACTTGAACTGCAGCATTTGCTGAGGGGGGGGAAAAAGAAAAATCAATAAATAAACATCCTCAAAGCAGCTGCTCCCTCCAGTCCTTAAAAGATGGCCATTAGTACACCTCCCCTCCACTCCACCCAGTTCCTTGCTAAAGTCCATTCCAGCATGTAACAGATGTGTCCACAATACCTTTTTACACAGCTCATTTTCTTTTGCAGCCACTAAGTTGGTTCGATACCTGAAAAAAAAGTTAGGGGCCTATAAATCTTTCCTACATGCCAGTGTTGAAAAAAGTTGAAGGAATGTATCAAGAAAACTTATTTCTGCCATGAGAAAGATCAAACTTCAGTGGTGAAAGAGACACGAGAAAGAATTCAAAGGGACTTAATCACGTAGCAGAGTAGGGACATATCTAATAATATTATTCTCTTAAATGAGTCACACATGACCAGTTTGCCTGGGACAGTCACCTTTATAAATGCAGCACACAGGAACTGACATCCCACCTTTAAATCAGCAGAGAAATGCAGTGTGTTTTTAAGAAGGGAGATTTTCATTCACTAAGCAAAGAAACAGAAGCTACTGGAAGTAATGCAACTTGACAGTTGTTCTATATAATAAGCGCTAGCTCTTCTTATTTCCTAGAGACCTTCCTGTCATGTTAATTACCCTGCAGATTCCTTAGAGAAAAAGCCACATAGAGAGCCCTGCACCAGCTGTCAGCTATTGGCCACTCTTCTCCTCAGATGCAGCCACTGGAACTAACAAGACCAAGAAGCGCAGCCTCGGTGGTGGATCCTGCAGAGCAACAAAAAGTGCTGTCTTTGGCCTTGCCAGCACCACAAGGCAGTCCCAAATTCCTGGAGTTTGGAAGTGGAGGAAGTGCTTCCTACTCAGCACATGGCAGAATTTGTATAGAAAAGCTCAAGTGTAGTAGCCAAAGAACATGAGTGAGATTAATTCCAGCTGGCTGACTTTACTTCCCTCGAAACAACAGGGGAACTACTTCCTTCACATATGAAAGATATGGAAATAATACCAGGAAAGGTCAGAATCATGCTATCTTGGATAACAGACTGAGAAAAAAAAAAGTAGGAACTACAGCTATAAAATCCTTTAATATGAAAGCTGGACACAAGTGGAATTTTTACCTTGAACAGCAAGAAGCAGATCCCAGGTTTTTACAACAAAGTAATTTCATTTCCAAAAGACTGAAAGAGAAGACAAGAAGTCCCTGCAGCCTACACCTGTTGTAGTACCTGTACATAATGTAGCAGAGCTGATTCAAGTTGACAGAATCCATGCTGAGCAGTGCTGGGTAGAAAACCCCAGCAGGAAGCATTATCAGCAAAGGCAGATTGTACTTCAGGTACATGTCACACACCTGCAGGAATGAAGCACATCCAGGCTGATTATCACTGCCAAAGTAATGATTATTACAAACTCCCAAGGAGTTAAGAGCAACAGGGCACAACACTGAATTCCAGCTAGATCCATCCAAAAGGAAAGGCCAGGGTGTCTTACACAAGTGCTGTTACCCATTGGTTTTGTGCATTTTTAATGGATAATTCAGTTACAAATAGATCCCAGGACTATAATTTTTTTTCAGCTATTCCCAACCTGAATTTCAGCAGCTGTTGCTACAGCATGGCTGGAGTTCACAATAAGCACAACTACAGAGAGGACATGAGGAAGCTGGAGAACACTTAAGGCTATTCAATGCTGTTTAGTTTGTCTACAGCACAAACTAGAAATAAAACCCCACATTTTTAAGCAAACATTTAAGGAAAAAACCCAAGATATGTTGTTTGAAATTTAACTGATCACTGTTCTTTTCTTTAAGTCAGCATTTAAAAAGCAGGTTATGGCCTACTGTACTTCTCCTTCCTCAGTTCACCTCTGAATTAAGAGCAGCCACTTTTTAGCAGCATATTTACCTCTGCCTGTGGATGCAACAACAGCAGCTTCCACCTGCAGATCTACCAAGTATGTGGAATATTCTGGCACTTAATCACAAAATTATGTAAACTACAATGAGGAAGATATTTTTTATGCTCTAGCTTAAAAATGCGAACAGCCTTAGGTGCACTTGAAAATAAAGACAAAATGATTGGGATACACACAGTCTCATAGAAATCCAGAGTGAAGTAGAGCAAGAGCGTGGAATTGTTTTCCAAACGCAGTCCAACAGTAGAGATCCATCCCACAAAGTGAACCAGTTCAGCCACCCCATTCACTAGTCCAGAGAGGGTGGTGTTCCTGCAGCAAAGACATGGCACAACATTACAGATACCTCTTTGCAAACAGCAACACGGACAACGGGAAAACAAAACTGACATTTATGCTTTTGACCCATCAAATACTCAGACACTTGTTCTTCAGTACAGCCAGTAACACATTGTTATCAGCACCATTATGAACACCCAGCTGTCAGTGCTATGAGGATTTTGAATTCTGGACACTTACGTTTTCAGCATCAGCAGAAATACTTCTAAAGAAAGACAAAGATCAGGCCCGACAAGGTAGCTTACAATATAGCAAAATTATAACAGCATTATTAACCTTCTGGTTGGTCTTTAGGCTGGGTGTTAGGGATAGGATTATAGATCTCAATACACCAGTGAGCAATGCACAGAACACTGCTTGCATTCTTTAAAGACAAACTTACAAAGAAGAAGACTCCAAATCCACTTGAATCGCATTGCAATTTAACCAGTTCTGCAACAGCTCTTTCAGGCTCTCAAGAACACTGCACTGCAAGAGGCAAAAAAAAAAATCAGGTTGGTGACAATTTATGAAGTGAGTAATTCTGAATAAAGTATGCCTTGAAAATTGTCATAGCCAAGGAAAGGTGCCAAGAGTTTCTCAGGAGCAGTGACATAGTTGCAAGGCCCTAGAACTGAACGTATGTGTTGTGTATAGCCTTTCTCAGAGAATGTGAACTTCAAGTACCAAAAGAAAAGGCAGTAAAACAGTTTAAACAAGTAGTTAAATAAATAATAAAATAAATTAACTATTGTGTTGTGCACTACGAGTTATTTTTATCTCCACTGCCCCAGCTTAATTCCAGTCAAAAAAGGAAGATATCTTAAAGCACCTATTTCCTAAAGAAGTTAAACTGTAGGTATCTACTTTATCCTGTTTGGGCACAGACTTCTGAAAAGATGTTTCCTATACAATCCCTGAGACTGCTACACCTAACAAGTACAGATAGCAGTATCAACTAGATATAAACAGCCATTGTATTCAATGTAATTCATTCAATTACCTTAAAGTAAATAGATGATGTGAAAAAGAGTTGTGCCAGGGGATCATAGAGATATGACTTAATGTCTGAAAAAAATGAGAAAGCAGTATCATATCAGTGCACAAATTCTATGCCCTGAGATACCCCCACAGTCCAAGCTCACCCAAAGGATCTGCAGTACATACCAGAGAAACTGCTGAGGGGGATCCAGCTCAGGAGTCCGAGGACTTCTGAGCGGCAGCAGAAGCCATCCCAGAGAGGAAGGGTCTTATACAGGAACTCTTCACAGGCAGAAAATCCCTCCTGCAAAGCAGAGTAGAAACATTCAAGAAGTCATCTGACTGCAGCTTGCCACACTCACATCACTCTGGAGAAAGCAAGAGGCTCACACCTTCTTCCTGCCATACCTGCCAGGACATTCAAATGATCGTTCTTAGATTATTTTTCCTGCAGAAACCAAGGCCATTTCCAGAATATTCATTATCCATAAGCAAAGGTATTTTTATCACTTGAGTCACTGTCTCAGAAATACTACAGGAAACAGGTATGTGCCAGAAGTTTTTAAGGGAAGACGTTGTTAAACCCTTGGCTTCCACAAAACACACTTACCTGCAAGAAACATTCTGCCTTGTAGACAGTTTGCAGGAAGCTCTTGAATTCTTCTTCATATGGGTTATTAACCATACACCAGGTGCACTCTGAACAGGAGAGAATACTGTACTTGAATATGAGCACAACAAGAAGCACAATGAGAAACCAAATTCAGTTCTCCTCCGGTAGCTGTTTTAACACTATGGTTAGCACTGTAAATCTGAATAGCAAAGAACCATTACTGAAAAGTGAAAAGCCTCAGACACCCTTTAGTTCCCTACCTAACAAGATACTAGTGTTCTTACCTTCCTGGAGCATCTGGCCCATCCAATAGTAGAGCCTCAGGTAAATAGATTCATCTCTCACACAATTCATGTAGTGAAGCAATAAGGGGTTTGTTATTACTGAACCCATCTGGGAAGGAAACTGCAAGAAAAAAAGAAAAGAAAGGATTATTCAGTATTTACATCAATAAACTGTCAGAGAACCTCATGTCCAATCTTTTTACCAGCAACAAAACCATTCCCAGACTCCTCCATCCTCCTCAGATAGGACTAGATGCTCTGTTAGAATCAGGTAGCCCACACACTACTCACATATATATAGGGCATAGAGGACCATCCTTTGATTTCCCAAAACATTCACCAAGACCTGCCTGAAACTCACCTCTAGACAGTGGATATTTTGTAGGAGCTGAGGGAAGGTGTGCAGCTGCTCCAGTGGAAAAGACTCGTTTGTACTGTACAAATAAAGACACTTCTTTTCCCTGTCCTCTTCTAAATTATTTGTGTTTGCACTGCTTGCAGGTATAACCAACTGGGCATTCCATTTCTGTAGAAAAGAAACAAGTGACGTGGTTTCCAATGCAATTGGCTGCACTTATGAACAGTGCTCCCAGAAAGACCCAGTTTTACCTGGGTTTACCTTTAAAAAAAGGTTAAAAAGTTTTTACCTTTAAAAACATAACCAGGCTTTCATTATAATTGATTGTTGCATTACTCTATAGTTACTCCCCCCTTTCCAGTGCCAAAATAAAGCCAGACTCCCATTATTTGCCAATATTCATAATGAAAACCACTACTTGGCACCTTCTGGGGTTTGCCTCAGGCCCATAACATACCCTTTTTCGTGACTGAGGCTGAGCTGTGCCTAAAAACACTGTCTGGAACAGGGAAGAGGGTCCCTGGTTTTTTTGCCTTATTGCAGTGATTGCTGCTTTCCATGGGCCCTCTGAATTCTTGAAGTAAGTCTGGAAACAGAAGTCAGACATGCATGCAAGAAGTTAAGCTAAGACAAAGCAACAGAAAGATCACTTTCTATTCTGATAAACATTACCACAGTCATGTAGACACAGCTCCACTTGACAGATTTTCACAGCACAGAACTCGCATCATTCCTCAGTTTCACTACCTTTGGTCTACAATTCCAGAGTTGGGCTTATTTCATTTGGAAACAATGTTCCCCTTTTCAGAAGGGATCTCCAACGCTTCTATCTTATAGTGTTAATTCAAACCAATCATTAACTTGTAGATTAAATGTCAAGTATACCTTAAAATTAAACAAACATGACCAAGGTATGTCCAGTTTATAGAAAAATTTCCTGAATTCAGCATCAGTGACACTCACATAACAGAATAATGCCATGAATAACCAAATAATGAAATTAATGTAGATATTACTATAGAAAATTGGAAAAGCTAACACCTTTCCACACAACTTTTTTGACATTTCAAGGCCAATCAGTCTTCCAATTCTAATCAAGTGCCAAACCATCACACAAGTATTTGGACTGGCTTGGACCTAGTTAATCAAGCTTTTAGTACACAACACAGTATGTTCATAAAGACAGTTAAAGAAATATTTGGGATCTAATTGCTAGTAATTTACTAGCACTTTGAAAAAAATGTAGAATTAACATTTTTTAGCATGCACATTTACAACAGATGACTGTGCAGCACAATGCAAAGTAAAAATTTAGAGACAATATAAATACACAAGCAAACTTAGATAAATTTTATTGGAACTCAACTTGCCTGCATATAAATTAAATGTCTGTTCTAAAAAAACAACAAAATATCAAACTTCTAAGTCTACCCCACTAAAATAAAACTTTGTTGCACAATTTAGGTCTCGCCAGATGCTGTTTTCTCTTATGTATCTGATTCTGCTACATGTTTCTATTTGGTCAAAGGGCTGAGCACACAGGTCTCTCTAAAAGGGAATCATTTTTTGCTGTTCCTTGCAGCTCTGACAAATCAGTTTCCCACATTTTTTAACCTGCTTTTTTCTCTCTCCTATGACACAGGCTTTCCAAGTGCAGAGTTACTTACTGACGTCCATTGTCATTTGTACTTGAGAATGGCAGCAATTAGAACAATCTCTTGACAAATTAGACAGTTTGTTTCCTTCAGAACTTAATATTTTATGAAACAAGACAAACCCAGCAGGAACACCAAAAGAAGGATTAAAATAATCCTCATAAAATAAAGGTAGATTTCATTCCCTACCAAATCATCTCATTATGCTGAAAAGGAAACAAAACACAAGGCAAGGAATCCTCATCTAAACCTGATTTTACTCAGTGAAAAGAGGAAATAGAATTAACCTTCACCAGTAAATCTGCTAGAGCTTAAATAGAAAGCTCCATATAAACACTGTAGTAAATCCTAGTTTCAAATTGACTAAATCTAATTCCTTACCTTCATTTTCCCAGGGAGGGTTATGGTCACCTGTTCTGGGCAGAAAAGTTTGTAAAGTGATAGCAGAGCTTGCAGATGAGACTGCATTCCCTGTCAAAACACAAAACAAGAGGGAAAACATGTGGGGTATGTTTTTAATATAGAAACTGAATGCTGTATTTTAGAAGCAAAAAACCCCAGTGATCAGTAAAAATTAAATTCCTAGAGCTACACACAACCAAGTAACCATAGATAAACAACTGAAACGGACAGAAACTGAGCCAATTAAATAACTATAGCAAGAGAAGTGAAGACCTTTCTGTAGTCATAGCTGATAGAAAGGAACTTTAAAAAGTGATAAAAATAGTCTTCTGCTGTCTAAAAAACATGTTACTATAGCAATGGTTTTTACTTTTTTAAAAAAAAAAAAGCAAGGTCCTCTACAATCTTACATTTTTCAGTCATTTTTGGCACCACTTGAAAAAGGAAGATTAATAGAAAATTAAAGACTAATAGAGAAATGAAGCTGCCCCTAGCTTCAGAGATTTCACCGTACCTGGTCACAAAACATGGAGCTTTGCATATATCATGGCATATACTCACAAAACACATGAGATTTAGGGATGCACATGCAACAGAAATTTTGATGCTACGAAGACTAAAACCTACAATTCCAAGTCCAAGCCACTTTTCTCCACTGTGTAAGGACATTAGTTCTACAAAGTGCATTATTAACCACAATTCAGACTCTACAAGATCTGAAATAAACTCACCATTCTTGCTTGGAGCTCAAGCAGTCTCCTAATCCGAAAAGGCTTAACTGGAAATACAATTGAGAATACAAAGGATTTTTAAAACACCACATTAGACATTTAAGCAAAAGTTATATAACATTTTTATAATAAAATAATGACAAAGCAAGCAAAACCAATAATTCTTATTTCAAGGGTAATAGAGAGCTTTCCAATTCAGCAAGTGTTACACAAAGTTTTGCCTGAACTACCACTCATTCTTCCTTGCATTAAAAGCACAATATTGGCTAATCATTGCATCAGCTGCATTGGAAGAAAAGGCAGCACCAGCAAACAATCAGAAATAAAATGATATTTCAGTTGACAGATGAGACTCACCATGTTCTTTCCTGGTCAGCAGGTAGAGCAGGTGGCAGATGTAGGGGCACTGCAAAGCAAGGGCAGCCATGAGCTCTCCTGCTGCTGCAGACACAGCCAGGACACACAAAAAGCAGCACAAGAGACAGCCCCACATAGCAATTTCATTTAAAACTTCATCTGCACTGTGAGCAGTCCTGACAGTAACCAAATTCTTTAATTAACTTCAATCATTTATTTTGGAACATGGTCTAGAAATTACAAGAGTCAGTGAAAGTGCAATTGCATTTTCAAAAGGAAAGGCATCTCTAAACCAATGTATTTTTTATAGCTTTTAACTGCAATTGAGGCTGTAAAGAGTCTTAAATTAGTTTCAAACCAACTCTGATGCACTTTCCAACCAACCCATCATGTCTGAAAAAGATATTTCAAACATTAAGAACTTAAATCCAATTTTATGGAAAGATTATAAATGAAGTTAATCTAAAACCATTAAAACATTACAAGAAATATAACTCAGAACTTTGGGAGCTTGTTTTAACCATAAAATATCCTAAAGTGAAAGAATATTAACAATTTCATATCTAACATGAATGCCAGGATTCTCTTATTAAGCACTGAATCCAAACACTTCAAAATTCCTGGATTTTACAGTTGCCATATGGCAGAAATTGTCTGAATGCTTGTTCTCTTTTAAGCTATATTTCAAATTAAGTAGAACACCAATTAGTTTCTCACCTTAAATAAACACTGCTCTACATTTTTTCCTTTGTTTTTTTTTTATTTTTGCCCAAGGTATGCAAGTCAGTTTCTGCCCAGGAGCAGGAGACTACCTGCTGATGTCCGAAAATCCCAGAGACCACTGTTACTCTTGGGAATTTAGACAAAATAAATGGTCACATTGTGATACAGCATAGCAATTCTTTGAAACACCTTAAACAGGCAGATCACAGCAATCTTAAAGTGCTTGCCTGTTCATGGATCTAATTTACCCAGCAATCTTATAAGGCAAAGAGAAAATAAAAAAAATACAGCCATCAGAAAATGGTCTCTAACCAACACCTTCTTCAGACTAATTCTAGCATTAATATGTATACTACTAATGAACATTAAGGCCTATTTTATCAGTTCCATATGTTCTTCAGCTCTCCTTACCATCCTCTCATCTTGCAGGAAGGAGAAGAAAATACCATAAAGGGCATGAAGTTGTTCCTTGTGATCAATGAAGTCAAACATTGTGATCATCCACTTCAAAAAAAGCAGCTGCAGACAGGAAAAAAAAAAAAAACCTACATTACATGAAATGCAAAAGCAAGGCAGGGGAATCAAAGGACACAGTCAATAAGGATACACACCATTCTCAAGGATAACCAGGGAGCTACAGACAAACAGTTCTGGGGTATTCAGATGAAGAAAGTCTGCCAAGGGATTCACCAGGTAAACAATTGGCCTCATCATTGCCGTTGGCAACTGGGTTTTGGTTTCTAGAACCATGGGACCCTATCTGTGTATCAGTGGTGACTGGGAGAGAGGGAAGCCAATAAACAGGGCACACATGGGCTCAGCCTGGAGAAAGGAAGCTCAGGGGGACCTTCCCACACTACAAGTTCCTGAAAGGAGGCTGAAGTTAGGCAGGGGCCACTCTCTTTTCCTAAGTACAAAAGTGATAGGTTGAGAAGAAAGAAACAACAAGTTCTGCCAAGGAGGTTGAGATTGGATAATAGCTGAAATTTCATTGTCAAGGATTGTCAAGGACAGGAACAGACTGACACAAAAGTGACTGAATCACCATCCCTGGAGGGATTTATAAGATATGCAGCTGTGACTCTTGGGACATGGTTGGCTTGGCAGCATTAGGTTAATAGTTGGATTCTGTGGTCTTATTCTGTGCCCAGCTAAATGATTCTACCACATAAACCTTTGAGCAGACCACGTGAACACAAAAAAAGACTCTTTCCCTAACATTAAGTAATGCTGCCACAACCAAGGTGCACCTAACCCAAGGGATACCTCACTGAAATTAAAGGATGCCTCACACAGCAGAAGTATTTCACAGAAATCTTGGTGGAGACACCATTCCTGAGGAGTTCAGAGATAAAAGACAAGCAGGAACCAAATCTCCAGAGACACTTTTAATGTGTTTCTTGGTTGCCCATTTCACCAATGGGCATCTCTGCCAGTCTTGGTAAATGACAGTATCTTGTATAAGACCTTGTACATTAAAACTTCAGCATTTTTGATTTCTCAAAATAACCTGTTCTTATGGTTCCTGTACAGAAGCAATAACTACTGTAAACACCTACTAAGTTACCTCGACATTGCCTGAGCATTTGCTGACACAGAGCCAAGACACAGCTTTAACCACAGAATCTTCTGGTATCACTGAGGCAGGAATCAGGCTCTTCAATAAACGAATATTCACTGTATCAGCTGGGAAAAAGCCAATTTCAAGTAAGATGGTGCTCATGTACCAGGTTCTTCAATATTATTTTGCAGCTTAGGTCAAAATTCCCTCTGGACAAAATTATTTAGAGCTTCATTGCTCAAAGTAATGGAGTACATTAATTTAGTAAGGACTTACCTATACTCCAAAATTATGACAAACTACACCAAATCATGCCAGAAAAATTAATTTTATGCTACATTACCATAAACACATTATCTCAGCAGATTTGATTAGAGGGGAAAGACACACTGACAGAAGATACACCAGCAGTATAGAAATGCTGTACCAAATTTGCCACTGAGCACTACGTTCAGCAGTATTTCAAACCCTTCAGGGGGCAGCCCATGTTTCAAGGCAGTGCTTTCCACAGCATCCAGGTGTTTCTGTGGAACACTCTTCTTCTTCAGTGCAGCACAGTCTTGAACTAGGAAAAGCAAACAGGACAAGCACAGGATGAAACACCTTCTGAACAGAAATTAACTTAAAGCTTCTCTGAACTGCCCCTCTACATATTCCCTTTTCTTGACATAGTAACAAAGCAGAAAAACTTTTAAGACATTAAAGAAACATTACATAGCCCAGGGGTTAAAGTGGGAAAACAGAAGTAAAATTATTCTAAAATTATTAATATTATAATAAGAAATATGTAGAGACTTCTTACAAGAGCACGACAGGACAAAGGGAATGGCTTCAAACTGAAGGAGGTTTAGATGGGATATTGGGATAAAGTCGTTTACTGTGAGGGTGGGGAGGCCTGGCTTAGGTTGCCCAGAGCAGCTGTGGCTGCCCCATCCCTGAAAGTGTTCAAGGCCAGGCTGGATGGGGCCCTGAGCAACTTGATCTACTGCAGGGTGTTCCTGCCCATGGCATGGGGGTTTGATCCATCCACTCCAAACCATTCTGTGCTATTTCTTTTCTTTACATAGTAGCAACACAAAACTTCCAAGACATTAAATAAATAATACATAGCTCAGACATTAAAGAGGGAAAACAGATTATTTTTTTTTAATTAAGACTGTATCATTGAGAAGTTATCATCTTCTTAGTCCTAGATAGCCACCCAAAAAATTCTCTCACCTTTCTCAAAGTAGCTCAAAGCTTGCTCTAGAGACTCTCCCTCGCTATCATATTTCTGATCATTAGCAGACTGATGACTCTGCAAACTTTTTTCAGAGTGAATTGTCCCTCCTTTTTGCCAGGCAGAGAGATCATTTTGGCTTTTATGGTGAGCGTGCAGAGGCTGCTTTCGGGCCCTGGAACTCCGCCTTCGCTGCATCTTTTCAGACTCCCAGCTGAGACTGGAGAATTTTACTCATTTGTCTGTGCGAGCCAATCCTTCATTAGGTAAGAAAAGAGATCACCTGAGGAATGTCAGAGAGCTGGTTCCCTGCAAGCAAAAGAAACATTTATTTTCTCAAAAAGCAGATTTTAGAGGCATCCTACATAACACAAGAGCAAATTCAGAAGAAATTGCTTAGAGCTGACTGCTCCCCAAAAGATTAGACAAGATCCTCAAAGCTGCAATGACAACAGTGTATCAAAACTCCCATCTTAGATTAAAAAGGAAAAAAATTTCCAAGATTAACACAAGCTCCTTTCAAGTTAAACATTATCTGATCCAATCTTATATACCATTTTGATAAAAAAAAGTCAACCTAACCAAAAAGTTAACATAACACAACCAAGTTAACCAAGTTAATTTTGTACATTATTATTGTTTTTACTTCTCTTGTGTATGACAACACAATCAGTCAACAAGTCATGATTCTCTGCAAGGTTATGTACATGTTAGAGGATCATCACACTTTTCTGCCTATTTCACAAAAATTAGATTCTTCTGCAGCCTACTAATCAGCTTGGACTGGAAAAACTAAGCAATTTTGGTAACCTTCCAAGTGCAGCACAAGAGATACAAACAACAACAAACTGCACAGCTGTGGGTAAAATACAGCCAGAAAAAGTGGCACTTTCTCCTCAATATGTTGGAGAAACCAACCTTTTACCCACAATATAGAAAATTTTGCTACAACTTCCTGAACTTGGTAGAGTGTGCACCCCTGTCCCTGGATTGCTGGAACCTATCTTTCCTGACCCAATAAAGCAGAATGAGTTTCAGTTCATACTCCCTCTCCACCTCTCGCTTCCTTACGAGGTAACAATCATCATCATTTCCCTGTTTACCACTTTCCTGTGCAGCAAAGCTCGGTGACCACACTGTGGAGTACAGCAACAGCTTTCTCTCAGCTCCCTCAGCACCTCCTCTACATTGTGCTTTGCTTCCTTTTGTCGTGCAGTTCTACCAGAAAGGTTTGGCGAAGGAGAGAGCAATGAAGGGCAGTTCCGGCTCACAGCGAGCACAGCCCTGCGCAGCCCCTCAGCGCCGACACGAGTGTGGCACCAGCACCCCTCAACCCCTTCCCCTGCAGCCCCCGCCGAGACCCGCCCCGGGCCGCCCGGAGCACCCTGAGGGGACGGAGGGAGCGAGGCCTCCCCGGCCCGGCGGCCCCGGGGCGCTCAGAGCTGCGGCGGGACCCCCGGCCCTCACGGGGCAGCCGGGCCGGGGGAAGCCACGGACCACCCCCACCCACGGCCATTGACCGTTCCTGGGCCACTGACCCGCCGCCCCGGGCACCCACCATCCCACGACCACTGACCGCCCTTCTGCTCGGGACACTGCTCAGGGCTCGCTCCGCCGGGCACTGACCATCGCCGGGCGGGCGGGCACCCAGCCCCAGCTGCCCTCAGCGCCGACCCCCCAGAGCCACCGCCCGCCTGCTCCAACCGTCCCCGCGTTTAAACCGCAGCCGCCGCCCCGCACATGCGCACTGCCCGCCGTGGTCCCGCCCGCCCTCCCAGCCGCGCATGCGCAGCGCCACCACAGCGCGCGGTGGGCGGGAATGACGGCAGCGCTTCCGCCCTTCCTCGCCGCGCGGCTCTGCGCATGCGCGGCGGGCGCGGGGCGGGAATTCCCGTGAGGGAAGGAGTCCCACCCCTCAGGAGCGTCCTGATCCATCCGGCCTAAGGTTGCGTTTTAAAAAAGAGAGGCGGGGAAAAAGGCACGTACAAAGCGAGGCAGGAGCGCTGACCGGAATGAATTGAGGGGCGTGGAGATGAGAGAGAAGCGCATAGGGGAAGAAACAGAAAGAAAGAATAAAGAACAAAAAAAAAAAAAAAAAAAAAAAAAAAAAACAAGCTATTTTGGACACAACCTGTCAGGAGAGAGAATACAAATGTGCCAAAAAAAAAAAAAAAAAAAAGGAAGAGTAAATTAGCATCGAGGTCTTCAAGAAGGAGTGGATCTGTTCTTGTCATTTCCAGCGAGCACAGATAGCTGGAAGTGTCCGAAAATAGCTGTTTAATGCTGGGGGGCAGTGACAGAAGTCAGCCCTCTGCGATAAATACAGAATTCTTGTTACTGGGCTCCAAGATGAATTGTCTCACTCTATAACAAAGAACATGCAGCCACTGCTGCGGCTCAGTTGTTCATATCCATGCAAATGTGAAAAAGGGGTTTTTTTAGTAGTCACTGAACAGTCTGAAGCTTTTACAGAGATAGGCTTTGCTCCATGGGATGCTTTATTATCATCTCTACAAGCTTCAGTGAGGAATGGTACAAAAGATAAACACAACAACTGTTCCCAAAGGTTGTTGTGGGTCAGATGCCCAGGTAAAAGGGCTGCAGCAGTTCAGTGGTGTGGGAATGCTCAGCATGGTGTGCTTTGAGTTGGTGGTATTTTCATTTGGTTTTGAATTAAAACACAATTAATAACCCCAGTCGGGGCATGGTAGTTAAAGCATCTTTTGGGAAGTCAAGGGAATTCTGTGTATATATTTGGGATGACCTTGAGATAATCTGTGAAGATGAGACTGTCTATCAGAGGTGGCCTGCTGGTTCCTTTGCTCAGGGTGCACATCTGATAAGAGAGATTTAGTCCCACTGAAACTCTGGGAGGAGGCTTTTTCAGCATACATATGTATATTTTGCTGCTAAAACAGATGCAGCCCTATAAATATATATATATATATATATATATATATATATATATATATATACACACACAGATATAGAAAGCTGCATCTGTTTTAGAAGCAAAATTCAGGACAAAACTGTGTATGAACATCCATCATCAATTTTTATAGTGATACAATGCTGCCAGTATAGTGGAGTTAGTTACTTTTTCTCACTGCTGCCTTGAACTGTAGCAGAACTTTATTTGAGACTGTTTCAATAAAATACTCAAATGTCTCTTTTAAATATGTGTGGTTATTAATATATAACCAAGTAGAGTTTACCTGACTTCTACTTTGCATCACCTTGTCTCTAAAATTGCCTGACATGATTATGCCCATTTTAGGTGGAGCATTTGACCAGAGGGAAATGTTTTCAGACACGTCTCTCAAATAAGAAATTTGTTTCTGTAAAGACAGTTTTCTCCAAATTTCAAAAAGTTTATTTTTGTGACTAATTAAAAAAAATAAAAAAAAAAAAAAAAGGAAAAACTGAGAACAGACAAACATTAAGAAAACTAGATAGACAAATTTCAGAGGTAACACATGCTCCTTATGACACTCTAAGATTTCAGATACAACACAGGGATTCAGGCTCTGGTAACAGGACTTATCCCAGCTCACTGAGGCAGTATGTGGGACGAGCAAGCAGTGAGGTACCTGCAACTGTTCAGACCCTCATCTACCAGAAATAAACAGCAATTCTATAAAGTCACAGTAGCTGTGGGGCGGAGGGGAAAGGAATTTGCAAGGAACTGGGGAGCACAATGCTACTTGCCAACATCAGAGAGATACTTTGGAGTTCTTTGGGCACTTCCACTCCCCATCCCCTCTCCAGGCACCCTTACTCTCTGCCAAGAAGGGTAAAGAGGTGCCACTGCCTCATGTGAAGCAGGCAAAAAACTACTGTTATCAGGCCATTGTCCCAGTTTTGGAGCCTCTGCATGGAAATCAAAGAAGATGTAAACAGAGCATCCCATGTTTTCTCTGGATAATCATTCCATAGAAAGGACTGAGCACAGAGGCAGCAAAGCCCAAGAAATCCTTATCTCCAACACAACAAAAAGCACTTTTTTGGTAACAGGATCCCTTTTACGCCTTGACCATGGAAAGGAAAATGCAGATGTGTGTGTGGGGCTGCACAGGGACGCTGGTCATGGCCTGCCCAGCCTCTGTTCTGGGCAGCAGCAGCACCCAGGCCGCTCTGCTGCCGTGGGGCTCAGGGCTGGTGCTCAGGACTGATCTCCCCAGTGCCAGGGTGGCCTGAGTGCCTGCCCAGGTCTCTGCCCAGGGTCTTAGGCTGGTTTTGCAGCTCCTGCTGAGGCCAGCACTGCTCCAGCTGGGTTGCTGACTGCCTCCAAGCTGTCCCTGTGGAAGCTAGTTTGAGTTTTTCTACATTACAAGGCAGCAGCAAAAGCAAGACTACAGTGTAGACATACCTTGTATCTCTCAGACCCCAAGTGCAACTTTATTTAGACAGACAAAAAAAAAAAAAAGCAAGTCAGTAAATAAAAACCAAATTTTCTGGGTGATTTTGCAGAGAGCTGCCTCGAGGGTCCGTGTTTCGTCACAAGCACTCAACTAGGATACCTTCACTTTGCCTTTCTCGGGAGCTGCTTCATGGATGAGTGGCTGCTCATCCCCGTTCACCGACAGCATCCTCTTCTCCGGCGGCAGCTCCTCGGGCTGGCGAGCGATCAGCAGGCGGCAGGTGAGCAGGATCCCAAAGACCAGGGCGTGGGCGTAACGCTTGAGGGGGTCCCCCACGAGCTGGTGGAAGAAGAGCACAGCCAGCACGAGGAGGAGGAGCAGGAAGTTGGCCACGTCCTTGGGGCGACCAGGCACCAGTGTCATGACAATGCCACACGCCACTTCCAGGGCGCCGATGCTCTTGCGGAGGAGGATGGAGCTGACTCCCATCTTCTTGAGCATGGGCAGGGCCCGCACATAGCTTTTGTATGCCCGTTTCTGGAACCAAGCAGCCAAGGACATCACGTGAGAAAGTGAAGGCAAAGATGACTTCCAATGAAACAGATTATTTCAGTCATCACAGACCCCTCTGGCACAAGATCCAACCTGTAAAGCTTTTGTTTGGGGGTATATTAAACCATCAATCTGCAATTCCCCCTTTCTAAGCAGTTGTCTCCTCATTGGAAAACAGTTCTGCAACCTCTCATCTATCTTTGGAACTACAACCAGGGCAGGTGTACCTTACTCTGAAATCTGAGGTTCTGATTGCTGGGATTAACAGTGCAGAACCCTGTTATTAAAGCAAACAAGCTTCTTTCTAAGAGTACCTGTGCTTTAAAATTGACTAATACACCCAATCCCTGCAAAGGCAAAGCACAGCAAGTAAATACAAGTCTCTTTCTACTCCAAAGCAGTTTACAGTAGTTATGGGCAATGCAGGCTTAGGGTGGGACTAAACATAAAAGCCAAGATTCACCAGTCCTATCCAGTGCTTACATACCTTTATGATCCTATCTTTCCTCAGGTGAAAGCAAGATGACATTTGACATTATTTGCTCCCTGGTTTATGCTGGATTTAGAAGCAGTGTGTCCCAGATTGCAAGGCAAAATGCATTCCATTTGCCATCTGTATGGCAGTTGTCTTCTGTTAAGTGGGCAGTTTTCCTTATCTCTTCCACAACCAATCCTCTGTCAGGGGAGACATCTGCTGATGGGCCACTGAATGTCACTGCATGACTGATAAGAACTAGAACATCCCACTGTGAGGTGCTCCACACAGAGGGAGGGGCCAAACATTCCTACCTGGATATAATCTCAAGTTTCTAAAACACCAGCACAGCTTTTTCTGCACTGGATTTCCCAGAGGAACAGCTGCCTCTTCCACTGCCTCTTCAGAAGAAGACTACACCTTTCCTACAGGATCACTGCTCCAACAGAACCACACCTGACACTCCAGGAGCACTGCAGCCACAATTCCCAATTGGACTGCAGCCAACACCCTGACTAATAGGGTGTCAGGTTGTATTCTGACTCTGTTTTGGTTTATTGCATTGTTTTTTTTTTTTTCTTCCCTAATAAAGAATTGTTATTCCTGCTCCCATATTTTTACCTGAGAGCCCCCCTTAATTTCAAATTTGTAACAATTTGGAGGGAGGAGCTTTACATTTTATCCATTTAGGAGAGGCTCCTGCCTTCCTTAGCAGACGCCTGTCTTTCCAAACCAAGACACAGTGTAAGCTGCAAGTCAGCCTGCTTACACAGCTGCCTGATTCTTTTGGGGAAAGAAGCAACCTTTGTTGTTACACATGTCCAGGTTCTTGCATTTGAACATTAGGTGCAGGTGACCTCACTGTTTTGTTTGGGTTTTTTCTCTTTTTGTTTTGCAATCAAGTATTTCCTGTATATATGTATATTTTTTTTAATAAGCCTTCTATATTCAGTGTGAAACATTGAAATTATCTCCACTTATACTTGAGGATAATATCCCTGAAGGTATTCTGGCCATTGTGTTCTCTGTTTTCAGCATGAGGGAAATGGAAGCCAATTCTCAGTTACAGGATTGTTCACAGGCACTGATCAGACTGTGGACTTACTTCCATACAATTTTGGAAACCATACAGAACTTCCCCATGTCTCCATAGATTTTGATGCTTCCTTTTGAGAGGCATCACAGGCGGTTAAAAAATACCCAGCATTGTCATTTTTGCTACAAAATAATTGAAAATCTCATTACACATTTACTCCAAGTGTTTGCATTGTAAGGATGTATTTTAAACCATCAGTGACTAAAGCCTCAGAGCAGAGTATTTTTAGACAGCTGTGCAAAAATACAACATTTTAAAGAAATTTACTATACACATGTCCTAGAGTACTCTGGTATTTTAGGTATTTTAATAAGCAAACTAATGTGTTTTTTGCCAAATGAAAAACTTCAAGTTTGGTGTTTTAGGTAAATAACAAAGATTCTCAGTTTTCTGGGGCCAAAAAGCCATCCTTATGGATTAGCAAGGTCAGGTTTTTCCTAACTGTCTGCATGACCTGACAGATCACCAGAGGATATAGCTCAGCAAAGGCAGGAGAGCCTAATGAGTCATGAATATGTAACAATATGGACAATGAAGAATAATGGTGCTGTGTAATACCTGCTTTATAAAACAAGAGATCATTTCTACCTGTAGGCTTGACTCTTGATAAAGCAGAAGGGGACACAAAAGTGAAATATTTTACAGAGGAAACATTTTGCAATGCTCCTAAAGTCTCTGTGCTTTTTCTGTAGCAGAAGCTTAAGAGCTTTGTTTTCTAGGGGTTTTACCTCATGTGTCTCTTGCCCATAAGTTACTTCTTGGGGATTTTCCTGTGAGATCCCTGTGCTGGGCTGCAGACTAGGCACTGAAAAATTCAGATGTTATTTGAGAGCTAAAGAAAAGCAGCTGGGCAGGTGGAGCAAAGGGAGAAAACAGAATGTGCTGGAAACTTCCAGCACTATTTTTTTTAGCGGCACAAAATTTATACTAATCTTTTCAACCACCACAATAAATAACTGGGGAAGTGGCAGGGGGGAAGGAGGGCTGCGCAGGAGAATAAATAAACACAGATGAGGAAGCAAAATGTGGCAGCCAGTCCCCCACCTGCCTGCAGCTCGCAGCTGGCAGAGCTCTGCAGCAGGGCTGGCCCTGGGCGAGAGGAGCATAAACCAGTTCACCAGGTGAGAGATGCACACAATGCACACACCGTCCTCTCCTCACCCCTTTCCTCTTAAGCAAGAGGGGGAGAGGCTTGTTTCCCAGGCAAAGAGAATGATAAGAAGACTATTAATAATACCTTCCTCTGCCAGCTAATAATCTCAAAGCATTTCACAATCATTAATTAATCCCTGCACAAGTCGGGTGAGGTGGGGACAGTCAGTGTCATTATCCTTGCTTTAAAGCATCGAATTTTGAGGATGAACATCTGCCAGAGCAGGCATCTGCTTCCCCCCCACCCCCATCCATTGGATAGGTTTCCCCTCGGGGACCAGCTGTCCCTGCCTGCTGCATGTCTGGCACTCCTGCCGGCCTTGCTTTTACAGACCCTCGTGTCCCCATCCTGCGCAGGCTGCGTGTGCAGTGCCACCCCATGCTCCTTGCCTCCCCTCCCCATCCTCATCCACCAGAGGCTTCTCCGTGGATCGGCTCAGCCGGGGCCAGACGCGGGCTGCCAGGATATCCCGGGCACTGCGTGTTATTGGCTTCCCTGCATGTCTGTCAAGTCAGGAGTCAGATAAGCTTCTTCCCTCTGGCGGCCCTCGCTCGGGGTTCAGGGCAGTCACCCCCTGCGTGCCCCGCTGCTCCTGCTGCAAGGCGGGAGAGCCGTAACGCGCCTCCCTGCGTGCTGCCCCACTTACCATCTCATTGTAGGCATCCCTGCTGAGCCGGGGGGTCAGTTTGATCGTCCCCATAAAGACGAAGAAGAGCCCCAGGGCCACCGAGAGGGCGACGATGGTGATGGTCCTGGGAGATGCCATAGAGCCGCAGGGATCCGGTCCTAGCGAGGCCTTGTGGCTCTGGCTGCCAGCCCGGGTGGGAGGGAGTCCGTCACCATTGAAGGCTGTAGGAATAAAGCTGCAGAGGCAGGAGGATGGCAGCGGGAGGGGATTCAGCCTCCTCCACTCAGCAACCCCTGGGTCCTAAAGCCCTGCAGCCAGAGCCAGGCAGCTCCAGCACTGGAGCGCAAGAGGAACTCATCCTGTTTCTCTGCGTGTTCCGTAAATCACCCACAGAAAGCCGAAACGGAGTAAATTCTAGGGATCCAAAGGCAGAGCACAGTTATTCATTAGTGGGAAAACAAGGACATGTTAGCAGAGGGCGCAGGAGTAACGTGCTGTGGAGAAGTGGGCAGGGGTCTCATACATAGAGAATTTTCAGTTTCAGATATTCAGATGCTCATACATAGCAAACAACATATTGATTCATTTATTTGCATCAGGAAAGAAAAATAAATGTTTTGTCTCTGTGGCTCTCCTGGAACCTGATGCTCAAATGGGAAGGTGAGGCCACTTGTATGACCCTGATAAAACTTATCCTGTATGTTCAGCTATCCAGAGGCTAGTGGAAATGTTTTATGATCCTCTGTTACTTTCTGCTTTAAAGTCATTGTCTCCCCTACAATTAATGCAACAAATTTCCTTTTGACCAAAACCTAGTAGAAATCTATTCAGATCTCACAGTGAGAAACCAAAGTATAATTACATGAAACAGAACTGCTGGAATGTTGCATCCTTTGGTATAAAATGAAAGCAAGAGGCCGCAACAGTGTGTAAAAACCTATACTCATGGGATAGTGCAAGAATGACACTTCCTATGCCTGTTAGGAATCTCATCATTGCTCCCTTTACAGTGTAGTAGTTCTTAAATCCTAAACACTTGTATTTTGAGCCCCTATGGCTTGAGAACTGGTTGCTGTTAATATTCAAAGCTCAGGTCTGGAATTAACAGTCTGAAAAATACAGGCAGCTCTCCCAGTTTCCTTGGGAGTTTATCAGCTTTGATTCAAAATATAATGAGACTCACACAACACAAGGGAACTCTGCTCATTTAGACTCCCCTTCACATTACAGCAGCTCCATCTCTGAAGAGCTGGAGAAATATAACACTGTGAGCAGAACAGGACACATACAAAACAGAAGACAAATTTTAATTAGCTATTGCAGAACATCCTGAAGAAGAAAAATATTGCAGCTGACATTTTCACAGGGCACTTCATATTTAGGTATCAGCAATCATTAGTGAAGAAGAGGGAGGCAGATGTGAAAAGAGAGACACTGAAATCTGTTCTCTTTACTTAATTTTATAGAAAAAACTCATTGTTGAAGCTGGTGCCTCCTCTGGGCAGGGACCCCAGCAAAGGAATCCCTGGGCTTTCATACTCTTCCAACCTAAATCTCCCACAACCGCTCTGACCAGTGGAAAATTACAGTCTGGTGTCTTCTCATTGTTCATTGCTTTGTGCAGTTTGTGGGTGAGAAGCCATCCACACCCAGCCAGGGCTGGAAGTCCTGTGTCCTTCGTTAGGCACAAGGTCAGTGCCCATTCACGGCTCCTTGCCTGGGGCTCCAGTGATTTCCCACTATCCAGGGCAAAATTTGCAGCTTGAACACCGAGCTACATATTCCTCAACACAGGGAGAGTGTCTTTTCCAGGCTCCTTTAAATAGCAGCCCAAGGTTTGCAGGGGAAGGAAGGGTGAGGAAATGCTACAGAGAACCTTTTCACCCCAGAAATCCAAGTAGTTCTTTACAGAACAGTGTTGCTAGGCAACCCAAAGTAAGAGAAAAAACAAAATTATTTATTTTTATACAACTGCACACAAAATAACTTAAAATCCTAACTCCATTGGCTCTTCAGGACAGGAGGAGGTTGCTTCCCAAGCTCTCAGAGCTCATTCCTGCCTTCTTGTCAGCGGGTGAACAGCAGCACCAGCTCACAATGAACGGTGTGAGGAAACATGTCAAAAGGAATAGCCAGCACAGGGACAAATGGCTCCCCTGCCAGCTTCTTCTGTGGGTCAGGTGGGCAGCACAGCCTGTGGAAAGCAAAGAGCATCCTTTAGACCAGTAGCAGAAGCCTTCCCACCACTGCTATCACAATCCAAGGCGGACCCACAAAGGAGGTATCATGTGTTTGACAAACACTCCTCAGAATCTTCAGCTGACACTGGCTGAGGTATGGAACCATCAATACTGAATCCCCAACCAGCTCTGAAAAGCTCAGGGACAAGCTGAACAGTCAGTGGCAACTTCAAAGCTCCTTTTCTCACAAGCCATCCCAGCTGAAAGACACTCAATTTTCATTTTTGCACTGCCCTTATGACTGCCTGCAGACAGATTTATCACCTGGGTCTACCCCAGCTAAAGACTGACCAGATAAAACGACATGATTAACCCTAAGCAGGTGACAAATCCCCTTGGCTTCACCTCCTTGGCGAAGGGCCAGCCTTCCTGCAGTGCACCCAGTGGACTCTGTATCTCACATCCAGATGTGCTTGTTCTTTTACTGATGCCTTGTCTGGACTCAAGAGGGTCTGTCACTGAGATCAAGAGAAAGGAGGAGAGTGCTCACTCGAGGAAGTTCCTCATGGCTTCACCCTCTGGCTTGCAGGAGATGTAGAGCAGCCTGCGGATGGACCTGCAGTTCCGGATGGCTCGTACAACCCTGTGATCTGCAAAAACAGACAGCCTGCTTTCCCACCACCACCCTGAGCTCTCCAGAAGGACATAATTGCATAGCATCACAACTGTCAAAAATACAGATGCATATTTTGCTATGTTCTGTCTCAGATGAAGTCCCTCAGGAGGCCACGGGTATGACCCACACTGCTGAGAGCTTAGCCAACTTGGCAGGCAGGGCAGAGCAATGGGGGAAGTCCCTCTGCTTCCCAGGAGGATGGAGGATGACAGAAAAAAATGTTAATTAAGCAAAGGCATATGAAACTTTCCACACACACTTGTGAGAGCACATCTGGGCACCAGGACCAGTGTGTGACTTCCCAGTACACACTCCAGGGGAGACCACTGAGACAGTTTGAGGGCTGTGTTATGCTGCCTGGGGAAAAGAAAAGCAAAGATCCATTTACTATCTTTAAGGATCTCATGGGGGATTACAAATAACTGAGAATCTTCTCAAAGGGGCATGAGAAGAGGTTGAGAAGCAGTAGATGTATGGCAGCAAGGAAAAACACTGATTAAATATATTAGGTAAAACATTTTCAGGAAAGGAGACACACCCTTGGATACATTCAGACCTCAGCTAGACTTTATATCCCTATGCAACCCCATACAACTCTGAAGCTGGCCTTGCTATACTTGTGAGATTGCACCACAGACCTCCAGAGGTCCCTTCTCTCTGAAATAATTGTGTGAGTCTGTGAAAGATGGAAAAAAGATTAGAGCTAAAGAGAAAGCATGATGAAGGCACTGAAAACAGCAGACTTATGGGATTTTAGCTGCTGTCAGCAATAAGAAGCGAAAGATTAAGCAAGGAAAGGGTTTGGAGCCCGCATAACAGGTCTCACAGAACTTGTTCAAAACTCTCTATTTACAAGATGAAAATAAATAGCATTTTCTCTCACGTAGGCCAGCCCGAGAAGGGTTCACCACAGCAACAAGCGGTCGGGCATCCTCCCACAATGCCAAGAGCTGTGGTAACACAGCCTCTGCCTTTCCACTGTGAAACTCACAGTTTGAGATCCCTGTGAAACAAAAAAGCAACCACATGAACTGAGTCTCACCAAGAGTTAGGTATAACATGAACCACCCTTTGCTGTGTGAAGGCAACTGGTTAGGGTTCCTCTGCTCACTTCTACTCCGATTTTTCAGCATTTAGTTTGAAACTTTTTGCCACAGTGAGTTTGAACTCACCATTGAATGCTGCATTCCACTCAGCGTCCTCTATTGCCTTCTCCACCACCTCAACACCAATAACTTTGGACACTTGGTGAGCCAGAGAGAGACCAATTGTGCCTGGAAACACAGGAAACAAAAATACTCCATACATTCATGCTGAAGAAACAGGCCTTTACGTAGCAAGGATCTGCTCTGGAATGCAAAGCTCTGGGAGCCCAGGACCCCACCTGTTCCACAGCAGATGTCAAGGAGGACAGTGTCCCCAGTAGCCTGGCAGAGCTCCCCAACTGCCTGGTACAGAACTTCTGCTCCAGCCGTGTTGACTTGGAAGAAGGCGTCTGGAGAGATGCGGAACTTCAGGCCGTGCAGCTCTTCGAAGATGTGCGGCGCTCCGTGGAGGAGCTGGTACGGGGACTGCTCGTGGGAGCAACGTGTCATGGTGCTGGCAGATCACACAAAAAACAGCTGTTGGAAAGCAGCAGAGGGCAGTTTCCATTCCCAGGGTGCTCATGGGCAGTAGAGGATGGTTTATCACCCAGCAACTTGTATTTCATGTGAGCCTTTCAACAAGTTAAAGCATTTTGATACTTTGTAAGGGATCTGTGACTTGCATAGCCTAAATTTCATTAAAAGGATCAAAAATGACTTAGCAGAAGGTAGCATTCCTCAGGTCTATTCCCCAGTTTTGCTGCTAATATGATTTACTGTCTTGGAATAGTCACTGGGAAGTTTTTTCTTCAAGATTCCCAGACTCATAATTCCCATGAGGTAGAGCCATAGTGTGTTCAAATAACTCTGGAAAAATAAAAGATGGGGCCATCTAAAAGCCACATCTTCAAGAGGGATCCAAACATCTCTCATTCTCTTCCAGCACTCCCTGAACTGGTGGAATTTGAATTTTATCAGAAAGGGTAGAAGAAGGTGGCTTTGTTTCCACTTATTTCCCCTGTCGAGGCATTTACCTCTCTTGGAAATAAAGTGATGTCAAGGCACAGACTGCTCCAGGCCCACATGTGAAGAACTCCTTCAGCAATGCTTTCTGAGTAGCCAGTGCCTCCTATCAAGAGTGAGAAAGGAAAAGCTGCCTCTTTGGGTAACCTGATTAAACCCCTCTCCCCAGCAACACACCCAGCAGGCTCAGCTCATGCCTCTTGCCCTGTCCTCCCCATGCTCACCTGGCCCAGCTGTTGGGGGTGGAAGGTGATGATAGCCATAGTGTGGCCACAGCGAGTGGTACGAACCACGAGCTCCCGCCAGTGTCCACCTTCATGGAAGAGGATGCACGGGTCCAGAGGGGAGTGACAGATGAACTCCTCATAGCACTGAGGGGAGGGGAAATGCCACCTTTAGTGTGGGAATCCAGGGCTTCCCTCTGGATGCCCTGGAAGGTCTGGGACCCTGGCAGGGGTCAGGAACCCCCCTGGACAGAGCCCCCAGAGACACTGGCTGTGATCTCTGCCCATGGAAAAGAGTTTTCAATCTTACAGGATCAATTACAAGCTCTGAGTGTTTGATATCAGTAATAAGTGTGGCACGGGTGCAAAAGTAAAATTTTAGGATTCTAGATGAGGGGTCCAAAGGGCACAAGATGGAGGAAATTGGGTGTGCCTTGTCCTTTTTCTCCTTCTTCATGCCCTCCATGTCTCACTGTGGTGTTGGCATTTTTCTGTTGGTTCAGGCTGGGGACACACCGTCCAACATAGGTGACAGATATTGGCACATTATTGTAAATCCAGCCCAGGAAGTTTCTGGTATTTAATGTTTGTAACATCCCACTGAGGGCAGAGCCCCACACGCTGCCCTGCAGGACAGAGCTGGGCAGGGCAGCAGAACATGTGAGAGATAAACAGAATAAACAACCTGGAACCCAGCACGGACCAATTATGGGTTCTGCTTTGGCAGCGGGGCAGAAAGACAGAGACTTTCTAGGATCTTGGGATCATTTAAATACCACAGATTCCGACACTTTAGTACCATGAAGATAACTGCCCTGCTCTTAGCTCCCCAGACAGGCAGCCCTTCCACCACTGTGGCCTGTTGTTTCTGTTTGATTTCAATACACTGGGTGAACGTTCCTTCCGGGCTTTTGAAAGACAACACATTTTAATTTCATTACTCATGACACTTTATGGGCGGCAATGTTGACATGTCGGTTTTTATAAAATTATTTATTCATCAACTATAATCAGGCATGAAAACTTTCAGAACATGAAAATGGACTTGAAAACATTGCATTACAGTGAAAACATTAAAATTACAGTGTTCTAAGTAAGAGTTATTGCATTCTCTCTATTCCACAGTGAAGGGACAGACATAACTTATTTATTTACCTGGGCTACTTGTTTGTGTTTTGAGGGTATGTTCTCCACATGGTTGGCTTTCACACAGACAATATTTCTTTCTGTAGAAAGATGGATAGGAATTTAATTGCTCTGGTTCAGGGCACATAAACCACTTTAGCATCTGACATGATAAACTGTGGAGAGACCTTTCCCCATTTCCACAGCCCATGCCAGCAGTTTTCTCTGAGTTTCTTGTCCTGCACTGACCTCTGCCAGTTCCTACATACAACCCCACAGTTTTGGGGTTCCCATCTGGTCCTCGGTTCACTGAGAACGTTGATTTGTTTCGGTAGCCGTTAATGATGGGCTGAGGGAGAAAAGAAGGAAAAGCAGTCTTGGATGAAAAGAAAAAACAGTGGAGGAAAGCCAAACCCCAGCCTGGATATTCTGTTGCCAACATGGGAAGATGTATATGAATAGGCAAAACACAGAAACAGAGCTTGTGCACAAGAAACCTTAGTACTGCCCCTTGGGGACAAGAAGCGGCTCGCTGTGACAATGGTGACAGGTTTAACAGGGAGGTATTAGGCACAAAAAAAGGGTTCCTAAACACTGGGCTTATTTCACTCTCAGGCACTCACAAGCTGCAAAGCACAAGTTAGCAAGGACTGACTCAGACACGCTCTCTGCAAGCAAATGATGTCCCCCATGAGACTCTTGAGCTGTTGAGTGAGAGACTGTTGGTGGCTCAGAAGGAAAAGCATTCCCATGGGACACTCACCGAAGGGACTACAGGCTGCAGAGGACAGCAGAGCCCACCAGGTTTCTGTGCATCTATGCCCAGCTCCTCAAGACGAGATGCCAGTGTCTGCAAAATCTTCTTCTGGCTTTCATACTTTACCTGCAGAGGAGTTCTAAGGCAGAAACACTCTCACAGGACAACACAATGGTGGGCAGCTCTTCATCACCCACCTCTGAGGAGTCCAACAGGAGGAAAAACTGCAACTGAAAATATAGCCGCAGAGGAACTCTGCCCTTTTCATAACCACAGCTGCTTGGAGAAAGAGGAAGAAAGAAAAATCCTGTGTCTATGATCCCCAAATGCTGGCCTGGAACACTCTGTCTAACCTGAAGCCCCAGTGAAGCAAAGCAGTCCCACAAAAGACAGGATCACTGTGCAAATGCCCATCCCCTGTACTACAAGGAACCTCACAGTTCTATCTTTCACAACAGGACTAAAGCAGCAGTAAATGGATCCTGAACAGTTTGCAGCATTAAGATGCTAGGGACTACTGCTCAAGAGGATAGGAGGGACAGCTGGGGCAACACAACAGAGAAAATTCTGTGTAAACACATCTTACCTGTAGCTGCTCTTGGTAGGAAAGTCTCCACAGTGGTGTCACTGCATTTGCTAACCTGGAAAGCACAAGGCAGAGCCCAGAGCTACTTGAGTCCTGATTCCTATGGCATAACATCCCTGCCAGCTACTTCATGGGCAGGACTGTTTTGGTGTGAGCTCTGCACCAGGCTGTGAACATCCAGACTCCCAGGGAACCACAATGAAATGCACAAGTTTGTGTGTAGCAGGAGGGAATTTCAAACTGCCCATACTCTCTGACCCAGCCACCCACACAAAAGTAGTTTAGAGATAAACCTCAGAACTTGCCACTACTCATATCCAAAGCACAACAGGCAAAAACAAAACACAAAAAAGCTGGTTTAAAAAATAAAATAGAAAAAAAAAAAAGACACAGACACATATACCCTAAAAAGACTCCCCAAAAAAGAGGTGAGGCTAATATGATGATATTATTCAAGCACTCGTAACTGAGTCTCTGAGCCCATGGAGAACACCACCCTGCAGCTAGGTAAGTTGCAGGTATTGCTTACCTACGATCTTTGGAGCTGCTTCCAAAGCACCCAGTGCCAGCTACTCTGAGATCCAGGACTGCAAATCAAATGGACTATTGCTTTTTGCTTGCCAATATGGCAACTTATCTGCTCCTTTCTTCTCAGAACTTTTCGTTTGTCTCCTCCACTATCCCCTCCCCAGGCCAGATTCCAGACAAACGAGCTGAGCTTTGGCTCTTCCGTTCCTACCGGGTGGAAGTAACCCCCCCAAAAAAAAAACCAACCAACCAACCAAACAAACAAACAAACAAACAAAAAACCACCACGTCCACAGCTTTAGGTGCTACTTTGAAAGAACATTTGGTCACTTTGCAAATGCCATACCTCTCCTCCCAGGAAGGCTCTGGCAGGCTGCGGCTCACCCTGGCCTTTTTCTTCCCGTCCCGCGGCGCCGCTGTGGCTGTCCCCAGGCTGCGGTGCCGAGCGGGCAGGCTGAGCAGGGCGAGCGGCGGCCGCAGCGCGCAGCACAGAGCCATGCCGGGCAGCCGGGCAGCGGCACGGGCCGGGCACCGGCAG